GATGTAGCTCAGCACCAACATTTAGGAGGTGAAGGCAGAGGATTGGAAATTCAAGGTCATCCTTAGCTGCAAAGCAAGTTTGAGGCCAGCCTGGGGTATGTGGGATCCTGTCTTGGGGGGAAAAAAAAGCTTAAAGTCACAAACTTTTGCCGGGTGGTGGTGGCGCACACTCGGGAGGCAGAGGCAGGAGGGTCTCTGTGAGTTCAAGGCCAGCCTGGGCTACAGAGCGAGTTCCAGGAAAGGCGCAAAGCTACACAGAGAAACCCTGTCTCGAAAAACAAAACAAAGAAACAAAAAAAAGAAGTCATAAACCTTTATAAAAAACAAACTGAAGTCTTCCATGTTAATATTCTGACCCGCCCTTTGAAGTCCCGCCCCTTGTCGCCACCCTGCATCCTGACACGGAAAGCCTCATTTTAAGGAAAAACCCCTCTCCTTCCTCTCTCTCTCCCCCCCACGAGGCGCCACACCTCCTCTTTCTCTCCCTTCTCTTTCTTCCTGTCCCTCTCTTTCCTCTTTCTCTTCATCTATTATAATAAACTCTCCACGTGGATGCAGCGCCTGGGTGTGAATGACTTTCCACCCCCCACCCCGGCATCTGCCCAGCATGTTTCCCTCACACGTGGGATATCCTGGCCTGGCCATCTGGGGGTTCCCCACTTGTGCAAATTCATAACAATCCACTCAATCCTGTCATCTCTCCCTCAAACGGGCTGTGCCTGCCAGTAGAGTCAGCCAATTAAGGACGTCCTTCCCTTCCTGCTGAACAGTTAGCTGTAGCCCAGACTATTGGAGATGGGCATCCACAGTGTCACTTGTGGAAATCACACCACCCTCTCTTGAGACACACTTCTTTACATCCAACCAGTGGGAACTAAGCCTCTTAAGGGTCTATGGATTTAGTTATGTTGTCTGAACTGCCTCCAAGCTTAAGTTTCCTATCTCTCATCTCTTTCTCTTTTGTATTATTATTACTGAGACAAGGCCTTGCTAGGTAGCTTTGGCTGGCATGTAACTCATCATGGAGACCAGGCTGGCCTCTAATTCACAGAGATCTGCCTGCTTCTGCCTCCAGAGCACTGTGATTAATTTATGTGCTACTATTGGTGAAATTATTAAGGCCACTCCACGTAGTTAAAAGGAGATTTATTTAATGGCGTAACTTACAAATTAAGGAATAGGTAGGTCGCGGAGTCTGGGGAAGGTGTATCACAGTCCAGCGGTGTTCTCTGGAGCTCTGCTCAGTCCACCTCTCCAGTCCAGGGTCCCGCAACAGAGAGAGCGCCCGCCGATCCAGATCTCGGGCCCCCCGCGCCTCCCTTGGCCCCGCCTTGTAGGCGTGGCAGTTGCCGAAGTCTCAATGGGGGTTGGAACTTCCAGATCAAAGCTGGAATGGCTACCCACTACATGCTACTACTGTACCCAGCTTCTTACCTCTTAAATAAATCTAATTTTATTTGTGTGCACACGCGTGTGAGTGTGTGTGTGTGTGTGTGTGTGTGTGTGTGTGTGTGTGTCTGTCCATTAGGGAGAGTGCACGTGAAGCCAGAAGACAACTTTCAGGAATTGGTTCTCCTCTAGGTTCTCAGGATCGAGCTCCAACTGTCAGGCTTTTGAGGGGAGTGCTTTTACCCTCTGAGCCATGTTTTCAGCCGTCTCCTGTATCTCACCTCACTGATGGCAGCTCCTGGGCCACAGCAAACACACTACTTCCACACAACTCTTCAGGAACTTAAGATATTCCAAAATATTTCCACCTCACCAGAATCCGAAGGTCAGCTGGAATGGAAGACATGGAGGGCATCCTGACCAGCCGATACATACCCATTAGCTGCATGCATCCTCCATCCTCCTCTACCATACAGACATAGGATAATATGAACTAAAACGATAGCCACCGTTAGTTTGATCAAGGGAGGGGCAAAAGAAGATGGACAAAATTTGTAGGAACGAGAATATCTTGTCCAGTGAGTAGTAAAGTGTCAACATATGGCCATCAAGATGGCTCAGGATAAAGGCATTTGCCACCAAGCCTGGAAAGTGATAACTAACCCCTACAAGTTGTCCTGTGTGGATCAGTCCTCAGGAGTGGGCGTGGGGGTGGGGGAAGGGGCCAAAGTAATAGTGAGCACCTAGGTGTGCCTTACTTCCCATTCTGAACCAGGGCCAAGGCTGCATACGCTTTTACAAGAGAATTACCAATGCAAACACGTCAGCACAGTTGAAGAAGGTGCCTACAGTCCACTTTCCTTTCCTTATCACCTTATCGAGATTGGATGAGAAAAAACTGATTTTCCAGTCTTTTGAGAAGACCTTTTTTACAGGATAAGCTTCGTAGAATAACACTTAAAAAAAAAAAGACAAAGACCTAATCCATCGAAGTCCATGGTTCTGGGAAAGTATCTAAATGTACTAACCTTGGTTTTTGGCTTCTGTATTTCCACCTCTGTTTTTTGTTGTTGTTTTGTTAAATTTTACTATGTAGACCTGGATGGCCCAGCAGTTACTATGTGGACCACGCAGGCATCTGCCTCACGTTCGCTGGGATTAAAGGCCACCATGCCCAGCTGATTCTGTGAGGTTGTTTTTGTTTTTATGTGCATGTGTTTTCTGTCTGCATGTATGTCTGTCTGGGTACCACATTCTTGCCTGGTCCTGGAAGAGGCCAGAAGAGGGTGTCAGATCCTCTGGAGCCCGAGTTACAGACAGTTGTGAGCTGCCACCGTATGGTTGTTGGGAACTAACGTGGGTCCTCTGCAACAGCGGCAAGCACTCTTAACTGCTAAACCATCTCTCCAACCCGATTCTGTGTTTTCTTTTCTTTTTCTTTTTTTTTTTTTAAAGATTTATTTATTATGTATACAGTATTCTGTCTGCATGTATCCCTGCAGGCCAGAAGAGGGCGCCAGACCTCATTACAGATGGTTGTGAACCACCTTGTGGTTGCTGGGAATTGAATTCAGGACCTCTGGAAGAACAGCCTGTGTTCTTGACCTCTGAGCCTTCTCTCCAGCCCCTCTATGTTTTCAAACGACAATTTTGTAGAAGTAAATGGGCCCTGGCAAAGCCAGGTGCACCTGACTTTGGAACTGCAGGGATTTTGTTATTTGCTAGGTATTACAGCCAGACTGCAACATGATACACAGATGTCTTACCAAGGACCTGCACATCCAGCCTGGAATTGCAGGATGTTGTAATAGGGCCCCAGACCTTATTGAGCAGGTCTCTAGACCTTAGCACAGCTGACTCCATGGTGGAAGTACCATTCAGGCTGTAAAATCAACATGTAGACAGCACCACCTGCCAAAACTAAAACAAAGGCCTAATCCATCAAAGTTCATAGTTCCAGGAAAGTCTCTAAATGGACTAACCTTGCCTTTTGGCTTCTGTAGTTCCACCTCCATCTGTTTTTGTTGTTAATTTTACTTTATGTGCATTGGTGTTTTGCCAGTATGTACACGTGTGAGGGTGTCAGATCCCCTGGAACTGGAGACACAGACAGTTGTGAGCTGCCATGTGGGTGCTGGGAATTGAACCCACGTTCTCTGGAAAAGCAGCCAGTGCTCCCAACCACTGAGCTATCTCTCCAGCCCCCTGGCTGGTTTGTTTGGTTTTTTTTTTGGGGGGGGGTGTTTTGAGACAGGGTTTCTCTGTGTAGTTTTGGTGCCTGTCCTGGAACTCACTCTGTAGCCCAGGCTGGCCTCAAACTCACAGAGATCCGCCTGGCTCTGCCTCCTGAGCTCTGGGACTAAAGGCGTGTACCACCACCGCCCGGCCTTGGCTAACTGTTCTTAAAAGAAGTATATCAACTCAGGATATGGTTTTTGTGCTCACCCTGAAGAAGGCTGTGCTATTGGCCAGCTAATAATGACTTTTTTTGGCTTAAAGCCATGTCTGAGCAGTCTTCTCTAGTGAACAGCCACAACAGATGCTATATTCCCAGCAGCAACCACTGGTTACCTCTGTCCACCTAAGGCAAGCAGCAGCGGTGGAATTGCAAGTACTTTCCAGAGGCCCTGTAACAGGAGAGGAACAGGGCTGGAGAGATGGCTCAGAGGTTAAGAGCACTGGCTTCTCTTCCAGAGGTCCTGAGTTCAATTCCCAGCAACCACATGGTGGCTCACAACCATCTGGGGAGATCTGTTGCCCTCTTCTGACCTGCAGACATACATGCAGGCAGAACACTGTATACATAATAAATAAATCTAAAAAAAACAAAAAAACAAAAAAACAGGAGAGGAACAGAGAGGTGCCGCTGTTTACAGACCATCTTTTTTTTTTTTTTTTTTTTTTTTTTTTTTAAACAAGCTCATTTATTAGCAAACAATGAGAAGGGAAAAAACAAAAGGAGAGTTTTCACAAAACAGTCTATGAATTATATAAGTTAGGGAAATACTGGACATCATAGACACACAACTAAAAATGTGCTATCGTCTATAATGTACATTTTCAAAAAAGCAATTACAGGGTTGGAGATGTAGATCGTCTGGTACAGAGCTAGCCTAGCGTGCTCAGGCTCTAGTGAGCACTCTGGAAGTAGCAAAGTAAAAGGTTATCCTTGGCAACACCAATTCTGAAGCCAGCCTGGGATACATAAGGCCTTGTCTCAAAGAGAGAGAGGGAGAAAGAAACAGCGCCCCGTGTGGCAGTGTACGCCTTTACTCCCAGTACTCAGGAGGCAGGAGCAGGCATCTCTAGGATTCATGAGAAAGATGTGACAGAGCAATTAAAATCTCACATGCCCGACTTGTAAGACATGGGATTTTAAAACGGACTCTAATGGAGAAAAGATCAATTCCAAAGAGATTCAGCAAGATGTCTTATTAATGCTCCATGTCATTAATCCGTCAAGGGGTGGGAGGCTGACAAGGAAGGTAGACCATCTTAAGTGACGGGTCAGCCCGTCGACAGAGCTGAAGCTAACCACCGCTGCTCAGGACTCAGCTTTCCTCCGCTTTGCACAAGTTACGTGTTTTGCCAAAGACAGACAGGACCCAAACTTCACCGTTTCAATGACTTTATTAAATGAAAAAGAAGAGCAGTAGTTCAGGGTTTTTTAGTCACTGGGTCAACAACATTTGGCAGTTCTTGAAAAAACAAGTTGAAAAAAAAATAAAGAAAGAACTGGATTTCACACCAGTGAAATTTTTAGCTGGGTGGTGGTGGCACACGCCTTTAATCCCAGCACTAGGGAGGCAGAGGCAGGTGGATCTCTGTGAGTTCGAGGCCAGCCTGGTCTACAGAGTGAGTTCCAGGACAGGCTCCAAAGCTACACAGAGAAACCCTGTCTCGAAACCGCCCCCCCAAAAAAAACCCCACAAAAACAAGAATGTGGCCATAATTTTTTTTTAACCAGAAATAAGTACAAATAAAACAATAAGATACTTACAGAAGCTGCAAGTGTTTCTTAATGATAAAGAATACCCAGCATTAGTAAGGGGCAGAAAACTGAGTGCTCTTTCCCACTGCTGAAGGAGTGGACAAATAAGGCTGCTGTGGAGAATGTGTCCACAGCATGCCCACCCTGCAACCGCACTCCTTACAATGCACGCCAAGGACCGGAAATAGAGTTAACACCCTGTATGCCGTGTCACGGTCAGGAGCAGCTGGAGGCAACACAACGTGGATCACCGGAACTATAGCCCAGCAACACAAGGAGCATTGGCAACCGTGTTCAGGGCTGGGCGTCTACTGATAAGGAAGACGTTCCCCTTTCGTTAAATAAAAAATAACAAGATATAAAAGAGTACAGTATGCTCTCATATTTGTTTAGGAAACTACATGTTTGCACACAGAAAGACATTGAGGTTATACACGTTACCACTGGCAAGACCTGCCCAGTGGAAGTGTGAGTTAATGAGAACTCTATACTGATTCTTTTTTTTTTTTTTTTTTGGTTTTTCGAGACAGGGTTTCTCTGTGTAGCTTTGCGCCTTTCCTGGAACTCACTTGGTAGTCCAGGCTAGCCTCGAACTCACAGAGATCCGCCTGGCTCTGCCTCCCGAGTGCTGGGATTAAAGGCGTGCGCCACCACCGCCCGGCCTGATTCTTTTTTTTTTGAGACAGGGTTTCTCTCTGTTGCTTTGGAGCCTTTTCTGGAACTCACTCTGTATCCCAGGCTGGCCTCCAACTCACAGAGATCCTCCTGCCTCTGCCATCTGAGTGATGAGACTAAAGGCGTGAGCCGCCACCACCACCTGGCTACTGATTCTTACTTTGATATACAATTAACATGTATTCTTTCTGTGGTTTAAAAAGGGGGCGGGAGTTAAAAGCCTAGTTCAGTTTAGGTCTCTGACTTGTGAAGTGAAGGTTCATGTGTCCCTAGAGGCATCTGCTTGTTTTGTTCCTCTGGACCCCAGCGGGTCAGCCTTGGCTGTTTTCCTGAAAACACCATTCTAAGGTGTGCTCACCTCTTTGGAAAACATGGTCTCTCCTTTGCCGCTAGAGCCCCTTCAGACTGAGTGAAAGCCACCTAAGTGTGCAGGGTGCTGGCAAAACTGCCCAGGGCCTGTACTTTAAGAAACTTCAGTGAGGAAGGAACAGCCAGGAAACAGATGCAGAGGGAGTTTCTCTGTGTAACAGCCCAGGCTGTCCTGGAACCTGCTTTTTGTAGACCAGACTGGCCTTGAACTCACAGATATCCACCTGCCTCTGCCTCCCCAATGCTGCTGGTTAAAGGCGTGGGCCACCACCGCCTCGCTGGAACTTTTGTTTTTTAATTTGTAAAATTTTCATTTACTTATGTGTGTGTGTGTCTGCTTTTCTGTATGCACCCCACACGTGTGCAGGCAACCGTAGAGGCCAGAGTGCAGATGCCCTTGAACAGGCCTTACAGGCAGCTGTGAACCCCCTGATGGAGGTGCCAGGAATTGAACTCAGGTCCTCTGAAAGAGCAGCGAACACTCTTAACTGCTGAGCCATCTTTCCAACTTCTATTTGTTGTTTTTTGTTTGTTTGAGACAAGCTCTCAAGCAGTACAGAATGGCCTTGAATTTGATATGTAACTGAGGCTGACCTTGATCTGCCTTGACCCCCAGGTTGCTGGTATTATAAGAATAACAGGGTCTCTACTTACTGTACACTCCAATGTTAAGTCCCCAGAGGAAGGGATGATGGCAAAGTAGTTGAACTGCTTATACAGAGTCCTTTTAAACTACCCGGTCACTCCAGAAGAGAAATGATAAAATAACTGGAAATCACGTTGAAGTTTTAAGTTGGCTAATGAGGAAAGGTGGCACCAACCCCGTAACAATGGAAATCTCCATAGAAAGGGTTTGGATCCTGGGTACAGACAGTCCAAGTGAACCAAAATCCTGAGGACCTTACAACCTACATTTATGAATGATGACAGCAGCCATTAAAGAAATCTTCCCTAACAAACCCAGGGGTGATTCGGCTAAGCAATCCTTGGTATATCCTCCACCCTCCACTCCGATTCCAAGAGAGCCTGGTAAACAGGGCTGAGTTCCTTTAGGGTTAACAATGGAAGCTGAAGCAGGGAGGCCCCTAATGAAAAGAGAAACCTAGTCAAGATCAGCGGGAAGAAGGGCCACATTCATCTTCACTACAAATGTCACTATCAACCTGGAACAAAGGGTCTCAAACACAGCATTGAAAACATGTCTAAAGTAATGTGTTTCTCACTAGTGGTTTAAACACTGACATTTGTAAATGTTTTACTTTTAAAAAGAATAAATTGCTATAGACAAGTACAACGAAGTCACTCTCAAATACTTGTATGCTTTATGTCTTTTGAGATGTCTCACATAGCCCAGGCTGGCTTAGAATTCACCATGTAGCTGAGGCTGGCCTTGAACTCCTGATCTTCCTGCTTCCACCTCCCAAGAGGTAGGACTGCAGGTGTGCGCCCATTACACCGGGCTTCTTGAATGAGAAAAAGGTGGAGTTTCAACTAATAGCAAGTGAGCGTTTTTTCCTGTTACCGTGGCTAAAAAGTTGACCGCTGCTCTTGCTGAGCAGGAAGGGAGCCCTGGACGGCATCCAGGAGGAGTGCCAAGGACCAGACTACACATGTAGAGTTCTTCCATGTTCCAAAACGGGGGTGGGGGTTAGGACAGCTGTGATGCACAGAGGACTAAGTGGGAGGCATGCACTGAGGCTTGAAGGAAGCAGGACGGCCCTCTGCAAGTTCAAGGGCAAACACCGGTGCTTATCGTTTGTATTAGTACCGAGAAGGCTGCCGGCATGGCAGCCACCACAGGTTCAGCGTCGGCTCTGGTGGGCAGAGCTTTACAGCTGGCGTGGAGTCCCCTCAGTCACTCGTGGGAGACTCGCTCCAAGGCCACATAGAAGCTGTTCTTGTCGTCCAGGCAGTGCCAGCCAATGGGTCCGATCTCACAGTCCGCACAGACCAGGAACTTGATGTTGCCCACGTCCTTGGTGAAGCCCACATTCTCAAAGATGAACATGTCATTCACCAGCCAGTGTTCCTGGAGGAGATCACCGTCGGGGTCGCTGCCGTCAGCCAGAGCTGGCTTCTTTCTCATGGAGGGGAGGAACAGCTGCAGGGGGAGAGAACATAAGAACCGTAAAAGCTGGACTGAGTCCGGTCACCTCTTCACTCCCACTCTACTTACACGCGACCTGGATGCCTAGCAGCTTTCTGGACTGGGAGAAAAGAAAAAAAGACAGTAGCCATCACATTAGGTCACACACTCGGACGCTCTTCCGGTGCCTGCCTTGATTGTCACTATTATCACTGTTGGCATTATTTTGAGACGTGTTCTTCCATACCTTTGTTGGCCTGTAATTCATAGATACCCGCCTGCCTCTGCCTCCTGGGTGCTGGGGTTAAAGGCGTGCTGCCACCCCACCTGGCTTGCCCTGGTTCTCTGCTTGAATTTCCACTTTCTAGTCTTTACTGACTCAGCTGCATGGGCATAAACCACGCAGCACTAGCCAACAGCTTCTGCTCTCAGAGCTGTCCTCTGCCTGCCCCTTCCTTCCCTTCCCGTGACGCTTTTCCAATCGCAGGCCAAACCAGATACGAGGGCCTCTTCACTGGCTGCACAACTCTAACAACCCATCCCCAACACACACAGAGGAAACCGAAGAGCTACCACTGCCCAGAACTTCCCATTCATCTTTAATTCTCAGGCTGTCCCATCGTATCCAGTGTTCGGGCTTGTCTGAATCCAGCCCTGCGATGACGTCACTGTGAGACCAGTCAGTGCCCTCTTCTTTCTTTATGACCACCAAGCTCAGCATCAGGTTCTGACGGGAGAGGGAACCCGGGGGTTTGCTCTGAGTCTTAAGGGATATGGGAGAGGCACTTGGGCAGGCGGCTTCTCTGCTTCACCGTCCATGGAGTCCAAGGCACTGCATGAGCTAGCTTCCCCTTAGCTTCACGGCGTATCAGCCACACCGGCTGGCCGCCCTGCTTCCTCAACAAGCAATAAGATGGTTCTGCCTGCAGACTTGGCGTGGCTGGTCCCTTGTTGGTATTCAGGAACAACAGTCTCAGGAAGTCTCTGACCCACAGTCAGTGTTTTTTTGTTTTTAAATATTTTTTTTGTTTTGTTTTTCAAGACAGGGCTTCTCTGTGTATCCCCGGCTGTCCTGGAACTTGCTTTGTGGACCAGGCTGGCCTTGAACTCATAGATCCTTCTGCCTCTGCCTCCCGAGTGCTGGGATTAAAGGTGTGCACCACCACCACATGACTTATTTTATTTTTAAAAGAGAGCTTTTAAAGAAGAATCACTGTTGCATAACCAGCACATATTTAAAGTGCACAGTCTGCCACATCTGGACACATGTACATGCTGATGAAAATAGCATACTTAAGATATGAATGTATTCATCACACCTGACAGTTTCCTCATACTATGATCACATTTTCTGAAAAATGTCTTACTAGATTTTATGTGTATGAATGTTTGTCCACATGCATGTATATGTGTGCATCACATGTGTGTCTGTTGAATCCCCTGGAACTGGAGTGATAGTTGGTTTAGAGCATCTATGCTGGGAATCAAACCAGGGTCCTCTGTAGGTGCAACCAGTGCTCTTACCCGCTGGGCTCTCTCTCCAGCCCCTAAAAGTGTCTCATTAATTTCTTGTTTGTCTTTCGCCATGAGAATATCTATTTGTTCCTGGATTGGATTTATCTTATTTAAAAAAAAGGAAATCTAATTTTAGAATTTGAAGTGCTATCCTCAAGATTTTTTTAAACTTTTATTTGTGTATGCATGTGTTTAAGTGCATGCCATGTTATGTTTGGGGAGCCTGTGGAGGCCAGAGGAGGGCGTCGGATTACCTAGAACTAGTTACAGGCGATTGTGAGCCACTTGACACAGGTGCTGAGGACTTAGGTTTTCTGGAAGAGCAGCAAGTGCTCTCATAAGAACTGAGCCATCTCTCTGGCTCCTATCCCCAAGAACTTGCAAACGTCAACCTACCTATATTCTCAGTTCCTAGGAGAGAGCAAGCCTTCGGTGCATGTGTGCACATGCATACAAACAGTTGCTTTCATTTCCTGTGTGGGTAATATGCATATTTTCTACTGCAAAATGCAACGCCAGCAAACCCACAATACTTTTATTTTGAGACAGCGTCTTGCTATAGCCCTAGCTGTTCAAGTCATGATCCTCCTGCCTCACAGCTCCCTGAGTACTTTGATTAATAGGCAAAACATATACATACATACATACATATTTCTCTCTCTCTCTCTCTCTCTCTCTCTCTCTCTCTGATAGGCGGGTCTTACTATGTAGATCTGACTGACCTGACTCACCACGTAAATTAGGCTAACCTCAAACTCAGAGGTCTGCCTGCTTATGCATCATGAATGCTGGGATTAATGGTTTGCACCATGCTCAGCTTTTTCTTTTTCCTTATTCTTCCTCCTCCTCCTTCTGTTTATTTACGTGTATGAATGTTTTGACTGCATGTATGTATATGCACCATGTGTGTGCCTAGTGCCTGCTGAGGTCAGAAAAGGGCAATAGATCACCTGAAACTGGAGTTCCAGATGACCGTGAGCTAATATGGGTGCTGAGAACCAATCCTGAGTCCTCTGCAGGAGCAATCAATGGATCAAGGACTGGTCACAGTCTGAGCTCATCATCATGTGGACAGAGGCAGAGCAATGCACATCAAAGGGGAGAGGAAGCAGAGGAGGTAATCACAAGAAGGGGCAGGACAAGACAACCAAGCGCAACACCCATCCCCACCCTCCACCACAACCGTTCCAACCCCTCCTTACAGTCTGCGCAGATCCAAATCCATCAATGGGTTAAACCATCATCAGAGCCCTCCTTGGCTAGCCCTCACAGAACAGAGCCTGAGAGACTCCTTATTAATCTCCTAGGTCTCTCTCTCTTTTTTGGTTTTTTGAGACAGGATTTCTCTGTGTAGTCCTGGCTGTTGTCCTGGAACTCGCTCTCACTCTGGGATTGAAGGCCTGGCTCCTAGGAGTCTCTTAATTCAGTCAAATTGACAAGCTTAGTCATCAATCATTCCAGATGTTGTGGGGCTTGCCTTTAATTCTAGTTCTTGCAAGGCAGAGGTGGGTGGATGTCTGTAAGTTCAAGGCCAGCCTGGTCTAAAGAGTTAGTTCCAGGATAGCCAAAGCTACATAGTGAGACTTTGTCTCAATAAACAAACAAAAAACTTAAAGGTTGCCAAGAAGCTAAAATCTAAAAAAAAAAAAAAAAAAAAAAAAACAAATGAAAGAAAAAACATAAACTGCCCATCACATGAAACGTTGGCATGTAAATAGAGCACAGCTCATAAACCAAACATCTCACAGTAAAATCCACATTCAATTAGATAAGCAGATTTTTCCTTAACCTCAAAGAGCAGCCAGCCAACCCAATCTCTTTGTCTGGGCAGGGGGACTAATAATCACATTGTTAATATTAAAACAACACTACTTTACATAGCTGAGATTCATGTTCCATTTGATTGTGTGTGTGTGTATGTGTTAGTGGTAAAATTACAGACAAGTCACCACTCAAGAAACATATTTTTATTTATGTGTACATATGTGTATGTGTGTCAATGAATGCCACTTGTGTGCATGCCTGTGGAGGTCAGAAGAAGCCCTTGGATCCTTTGGAGCTGGTTAGAGGGGGTGTGAGCTGCCCAGTGTGGGTGCTGAAACCAGACTCAGGTCCTCTGGAAGGACAGTAAGTGCTCTTAGCTGCTGAGCCATCTCTCCAGTGCCCCACTTAACTGCCTTCTTTTCTGTGTACAGTCCAGTACGTAAGAATGTTCACATGACTGTGCCACCACCGCCTACATGTCACCAGAGCCTTCCCGTCTTCCCAAACCGAGACTCTGGTCCCACTGAAGAAGTGTCTCCCTATTCACCCACCCTCCTTACTCTCCCTTCGCTGGCCTAAAGAAGAAGGTATTTCATGTAGGTGGAAGCATACTGCATATGTCCTTTTATGGCTGACTTGTTTCTTTTACTGTCCTCACAAGTTCACATTTAGTTTTAAGAAGTAACACAAAGGAGCTTGGCATAGTGGCATACACCTTTAGTCTCAGCAGAGGCAGGTGGATCACTTCGAGTTCAAGGTCAGCCAGGGCTACACAGTGATGCCTTCACAGTGAGGCCTTGTTTCAAAAGCCAGCAGCAGCAGCAGCAACAACAACAACCACCCCAACACACACACAAAACAAAACCCACAAAAGGACTAGAGAGAGCCTGGCAGCAGCTAAGAGCACCTGCTATTCTTATAATCATTCCTTTGGTTCCCAGGACCCACTTCAGGTGACTCAGGACTCCCTGTCACTCCAGCTCCAAGTGACCTGGTGCTTGCTCCTGCAATCTGCTAGAACTTATTATATACATGTGCATAACACACACACAAACACACACACACACACACACACACACACACACACACACACACACACACACAAATAAGCATAAGCTTTTAAGAAATAACCAAGCCCTTTCATCTCAGCACCTGGGTGGGAGGCAGAAGCAGGCAGTTCTCTGTGAGTTGGGGCAGCCTGATCTAGGCACAGTTCCAGGACAGTCATGACTACATAGTGAGACCCTGTCGCAAAAGACAAAACCAGAGCAAACAGAAGTAACACAAATCCCTGGAGCCTTTACTGTCTCCCTGAAGATAACATCTTGAACAGCTGGGGTAGCTCTCACAGTCAGAGTACAAGAACTGATTCACTCTGGAGATCTTATCCAGATCCCCCCAGCTTCCTGAGTGTCGCCGTTGCTTTTCATTTAAGGGCCTGTTGCCCAGGGTGGCCTTGAACTCTGATCCTCTTGCCTCAGCCTCCTGGGTTCCCCATGTGCTTGTGCTCACTTGCCTGCCTATTCAGTTCTAAACGATTTGTTCACCTTTACAGTCAGGATAGCGAAGAGCCCCGTCACAAGAGCTCTGCTGCTCTCTCCTAATCACATTCATCAACAACACCTTGCCCCTCAATCCCATCTGAGGGCAACCACTGAGTCCTTCTTCATTTCCGAAATTCTCTCATTTCAAAAATGTTACACACGGTCCAGTGTAGTGTCGCATGCCTTTAATCC